GTCCGGCTTCTAGCCTGTATGAAGAGCCGGAGGAGCGGGTGGGCGGCAGGCACGGGGTCTCCAAATTCCTTCGGACATCCAGGGGACAAGGCAGTGTTTGAACTGGAGGGAGGCAAGGCAAAGGGCTGGTTGCTTCCCTGGGGGAGTTGATGGGAAGGATGGATCATGTGAAGAGAGTACCTCTTGGGGACAGAATCTGACTTGCTTTGGTGGATTTGATGAAAAAGTGATTATCCTGGGAGAGAGCAAAGGAAAAGAAAGACTGAGAAAATAGCGGAGAGGTGGCAGCCTGTGGATTTACATAGGCAAGGAAAAAAGGTTACTGAGGAAAGAGTAAATCTGGATATGCTCTGAGATGCAAAACAGACAAACCGCGGCAAGAACAGAACAAGGCTACATAGCAGCAGGAGATTTACAGTCCAAGCAGCAGTAGTCCAAGCAGTCCAGTAGTGCAGAGAAGGAAGAGCAAGGGGAGGAAGAAGGATTATGGCATGGAAAAGGTGTTAGGGGACTTTCTTGTACAGAATACTGTGTTGAACAGTAGAGCAGATAGATAGATGCCTCAGGAGATTTTTCAAAATCAGCACAGCAGCTGCGATACACTGAAGTCATGCTAAAGATCCCATTACTTGGCAGTCAGTGTTGTTGGATGGCTTCAAAATTCAGTCTTTAGAAATTGCTAAGATATATAGGACCTTTTATTTCTTAATTTTACATTATCATAAATATATTTGATTAATTTATAACTTGAGAAACCTTTGGAATATCTATATGCTTCTGACATTTAAAAATTATTATTAACTTTTCATTCTTCTAAATGATCCTGAGTCTCTGTTTAGATTTGATAAGCACATGTGCATGATTTACAATGGGAAGAAAGATGATTTCCCTCCTCAGTAGCTGTGCAGATGCAGAGGAAGTGCATAAATGCAGGATTAATGTTAAGAAAAAATTATAGCTGAGATTCTGGGTTCATAAGGAAATGATGAAGTGTCTGTAGTCCACATCCTTGCATTAGCGTCATTAATTATAGAAAGGCCACTAGATCAGCCTTTAATGCCATGGTTGCAAAAGGAAACATTGCTAGTCTGTAGCAGCCAACAAGCCCCATCTCTTGATTTGTGCTGTTTCATATTCAGTTGAGATGAAATGTGGGGGTGAGGGAGGAGTGCTATTCAAATAGATTTTTACCAGTGGTGGATTTATGGTGTATAATTTTAAAGATGACCTTTTAAACAAAGACTGTATTCAATTTCATCTGAAAGACCTGAAGAATGAGAGCACTTGGAAAATTTGTGTCTGTGTGCCATTAATGATATATACAAGATCACAGAAACAAGGACTATATACTAAAATGACAGTCCAAACAGTCTGTAGATAAGGTTTTAGACAGCAAAAGCAATATAAGGAAGTTACCAGTGTGCCTCCATCAGCTAGATGACATATTTAGCTCTGAGAAGTAAATAAAGAAAAAAAAAAAACAAATACTTTAATAGTTTCCCTGATGCAATACTCACATTATTTTATTTTGTTTTAATGCACCTGCCACAGATGGATGTGAT